GTTTAAGCCACTGGGTCTGGGACTTGAACTGCAGTTGACTACATGGGAGTCCAGAGACATAGCCACTATGCTAACTGCTGGTCCCAGAAAAGGAATTTTAACATGGGGGGGGGGCATAAAAAATGAAAACAAAACAATTTATTGTTTTCTTGTACATAAAAATAACTCATTTGGCTCTAACCTGGTTGTCTTTACTGTCATATTTTCACAGGTTTTGTGAAGCCCATTTCATTTTAGACCTGAAGCCCTCATTCACTAATGATTCAGCTGCTTTCTATTATCATAAGTCATGGGGGAAAACTGATAGCCTCTACTAACTCACATTACTTGGCAGTATTTATAGGATTCTCTCCCTTGAAACCTTTCTACAGATGCAAAGAAAAATTTTGAGAGGAAAAAAACTCGTAACTCATGATCAGTTGATAGGGAAATGCTCCTGTGTTAATGGTTGTAACTCTCAGAAGGGTCAGAGCAAGAACACATGTTGAACTTGATTTAGCCTCATGTTTCCCAAATTTATTGGGCCCTATATTTGGAGGGGCATAATCCAAGTATAAAAAATGTTATTAATGTTTTTTTTTTGAGAGGTTTTTGCTATAGGGCATGTACACTCGCCAGAAAGAGAAAGACAGAGAGACAGAAAGCGAGAAATCACCCCCCAGGGGGGATGTCCACACCGCAATCCCTTCTCCGTTCTCTTCTCGGGATCTTGGGCACTCATGCACATGGCATGAGTTTAGGCCACTGGGTCCAGGACTAGAACCACAGTTGGCTACATGGGAGTCCAGCGACATAGCCATTATGCCAACTACTGCTCCCAAAAATGTGTTAATCTTTATGAACCTCACAGTTCCTATTTTTAAGTAAGAAGAAAGTAATGTCAAATAAATTATAAAGATTAAATTATAAAATATTTTTCATCGAAATTTGAATTTGATTAAAGTAGGTTTTTGTATTTTTATAATTCTCTAAATTCCATGTTTTATCCACAAAATAATAATTGAATTAGTTTCATTCTCCTTACAGCACCAAGCTTGAATTTGTTCATCCTAAAACTATAGCAAGCCACAGTACACATTTATATGAATTTGGAGATTTGGTAAATAATGCATATAGAGTCCAGTTTATACTGTGATTCTCGTATACTTTTTTGGGCATTACATAAGGTAGTGGAACAAAATTACCAGTTAGGCCCAGTGGTGCTAGTGGTTCAATTCCTGTACCAACCTAAATAGGCCAGGCACAGTGACACATACTTATAATCCTAGCTAGCTTGCAGGCTGGGGCAGAGAGATTACAACATGGCAAGACCCTATCCAAAACCACTGCCTTTTCTATCTAACCACTCTCCCCTCTGCTTCTCTTCTCATAAAAATAAATAACTATTCGGACAAACCAGTAAGTTCCTTTGGAAACATATTTCACCAAGTTTAGAGATTTACCTGTTGAAGCTGTACTTCAGTCTATTTACTAATAAAGATTTTCACAGAATTTACTTTTTTAAATGGTTTGATAACAGCATATAGGTACAATGGAAATAGTTGACAAACATCCTTATATGTGAATTTAGACCTAAAAATGTTGTAAAAAGCATATTCTCCTTTTAGATGTAACAAGAGGTATGAATTTACCTATGGCTTAACAAAATTCTGAAAAGAAATTTCTTTTTGCCTTTAAATGTCTTTACTGACTATGGCTCTGGTACTGTTGGGTCATCGGAAAAGTCATTGACATATTTTTCTGTATGTTTCTATGCATATGTGCATCACAACTTTTCCAACAACCGAATGATATGATATTCATATATACAAAGTTAAAATATTTTTGGGAACTGAGCACAGTGATGCATACTTATAATCCTGGCTTTTCAGAAGGGTGAAGTGAGAAGGATCATGAGCTTGAATCCAGCCTGGGCATCATAGGAAGACCCTCTTTTTTTAAAAAAAAAAAAAAGTACATATTCCATATTCTCAAAACATGTATGACTCTTCCTTTGCAACAGTACATATGTTTTGCTTGAAGGGACTACTACTTAGACAAAAGCTTAAGCTACATGTGTTATATCCTCATCTTACTACAGAGAATATGTGTTACTGGTTGTCATGAAGTTGTTCTTCTTTTGTAGCTGCCTTGCTTTTGTATCACTTGACATACAGGTTACCAGATATATAGTCCTGGAACCAAGTAAAATTGTAAAAATATAGCAAAATTTTCCTTTTTTTCTGAATTTCAGATTTCCTCTGCATGACAAAGAAAGACTTGAAAAATGGTTAAAGAATATGAAACGAGATTCATGGATTCCCAGTAAATACCAGTTCCTGTGTAGTGACCATTTTACACCTGACTCTCTTGACATCAGATGGGGTATTCGATATTTAAAACAAACTGCAATTCCAACAATATTTTCTTTGCCTGAAGACAATCAGGTATTGGAGTAGGGGGGAATGAGTGTAATGCTGAGCAGGATGGCAGATTGTAGGGTGGCGAATGATCAGGTAGAGAGAGTAGGATAGCTGCTAAAAAAACATACTTGAGAAAAAGGAACACTAATTTGTGTTTTTACTAAAGTTATGATAAATTTCTAAAAATTTACAAACCGTTGTGAAGTACTGCTTAAGAGGAGTAGATAGCACATATACACATTATTTCATTACCAGCATAAGCTAATAAGTAAATTTTTTTTCTGATCTTCTGAATGATCTAAAATATTTGTACCATATATTGAATAGGCTAATGCTTTCTTAAAAACACTTGTAAGTTATATTTAAGTTGTTATATACTTAGAACATTTTTTAACTGAATAAATTTGTTTGGTTAGTATACTGCTCACAGTTATGACTAACTAAAAGTAACTATTAAGAGAGTAAGTCTATGAAGGGCATCTTTTTTAGAATTTGAAAATATTATTTTCTAGGAAAAAGATCCTTACAAAAAAAAATCTCAGAAGAAAAAAATGGAAGATGAGAAGGAAGTATGCCTAAAAGCCAAGTCAAAAGAATCATTTGCATCAGACGAGGCAAAAAGAAATACACTTAGTGCAGATGTGCTGCTCCCTGAACATGGAGAATTACTTGATTCATCCACTTTAGTAAAGTCACCAGTGTACAAAACAGGAATTATACAAAATATGTTAGCTCTTAATGTGATTAAACAAGGCACTGAAAAGCCACAGTCAACCTTGGAAGCATCAGTTAACCAAGACACAAGTAGAGGTAACTTTCACACATCTTTTGAGAATCTAAATTCTACAATGATTTCTTTGACAACTTCAAACTCAGAAGGCATTGAGCAGTCTTTGGAAACCCAAGAAGTGCTTGAAATAACTACCAGTCATCTTGCTAATCCAAACTTTACAAATAATTCCATGGAAATTAAGTCAGCACAGGAAAATCCATTCTTATTCAACACAATTAATCAAACTGTTGAAGAATTAAACACAAGTAAAGAATCTGTTATTGCCATTTTTGTGCCCACAGAAAGCTCTAAACCTGTAGTTAATTCTTTTATACCTACACAGAAAGAAACCATGGAAATGGAAGATACAGACATTGAAGAATCCTTATATAAGGATGTAGACTATGGGACAGAAGTTTTACAAATTGAACATTCTTACTGTAGACAAGACGTGAATAAGGAACATCTTTGGCAGAAGGTCTCTAAGCTACATTCAAAGATAACTCTTCTTGAGCTACAAGAGCAACAAACACTAGGGAGATTGAAGTCTTTGGAAGCTCTTATTAGGCAGCTAAAACAGGAAAACTGGCTATCTGAAGAAAATGTCAAGATTATAGAAAACCATTTCACAACATATGAAGTCACTATGATATAAAGCGATATTAATACTAAGGCTTTTATGTAAGCTCTTTCTAGCCAAACTAAATTACATTTAAGTGAACTTTTATTTTTTTATTTTTTTTTCACTGAGAAAAAGCAGTTTAATAACACACACACATATTCATAGGACTTTATAAGTGAACTTTTTCCTGTTTAAAAGTTTCATCTTAATGAAGCTATGAAAGTGCTCTCATATGAACTATATCCTGTTCTCATAATCATTTTTGAGAAAAACTGGAGAATTGTTGGGCTGGAGAAAGTTTTATTATGTGATAATTTTCCAAATTAAAGTTAAAATACAGTGAATAAATAATAGTCACAGAAAAAGGGAACAATGATATGACTAAAATATCCCAGAGTAGAAGTCAAGTTCAGAAATCATCTTGGTTCTACCACTGACGTATTACTTGGGCATATTATCAAAATTAAGCTTCAAGTTCTAAACTGTAAAATAAGGACACTTACTAGATCTCTAATAGTCTATTTCTTTATTGTTTCTTTCCTTTTTATTGAGATATTATAATGGGTTTTATATATATTCAATAGTTGAAGTTAGCTGGAATTTGGCATACTTAACTATTGAATTATCTTCAATATTTATTGAATTCTGTATTATTTGGCTATAGTGACATCTGAAATAGGAAGGAAAATACACCTTTTATAATTTGCATTTGAACTAAAATAAGGAACCACCCATTTGCACAGTTCTTAGGAAAAGGTACTTTAAACTTGAAAGTATATGTATTTCAGTACTCTGTGTGTGGCTAACCATCATAATACGTAGCCATTTAAGCTTCTTAACATTCTATATTTATAAAGTTATATTTAGCTCGTATCATTTTAAAATTCCAGAATAGTAATATAACAATATACATTGCTACTTGTATTTTATTAAAATTTATAAGCAAGAAATTTTAGATAAGTGGTGATGACTTTAGGGAAATGGATTTTCTCTTAGAAAAGAGAACTCATGGAGATATAAATAAAAATATTGCTTATATCCACACAATTTATGAAAAAGATATGTAAAAGCAAAGACTTTGTAGTAACAAATATGAAAAATAAGGTATGTTCCCTTAAAATTGACAGTCAATATAATTAAATATATTGCTGTCTATAATGTTGAACAAATTCATATCAGTCTGATTCTTAATCCTCTCTTTCATTAAATAAAAAATATCTATTTTACAGAATTGTTTTTGAGAATTTTGTAACTAATGTGTTTTCTTTGTTCATGGAAAATAGGAAGTGCTCAATAATTTTAGTTTTAGCTGACTGAACAGTAAGTAATACTGTAATTGTTTTATAAATGCATGGTGATTACTTTTGGCCATATTTCATAATAAAATTAATTGACATTCTTTGTAAGTACCTGCTAATTATAAAAAGATGAGAGGTGATTTATTAGGTGTCCAAGTGGGGAAAACTTAAAATTTTTGCATAAATTCCAAGGATAGAGCTAATACAATGTTATTTTTGTGTTTTGCTAATACAGGCTGAGCGTCCCTAATCTGAAAATCCAAAATGCTCCAAAATGTAGAACTTTTTAGTGCGAACTTGGTACCACAATTAAAAATTTCCACACCTGACCTCATATGATAGTCAAAATGCTCCAATAATAATGTATAAAATTAACCTTCTTCAGGCTGTGTGTTAGATGCATATGAATTAGAAATGAATTTCAGCTTTAGACTTGGGGTCTCAGCTCCAAAATATCTCATTGTGTGTGTGTGTGTGTGTGTGTGTGTGTGTGTGTGTGTGTGTATGCAGATATTCCAAAATCTGAAAAAAGTTGAAATTTGCAACACTACTGGTCCCAAGTATTTCAGGTGAGGGATACTCGCCCTGTACTTAATTTAAAATAAATAGTATAGGGACCAGCAGTTGTAATCGCTATGTCACTGGTTTCCCATGTAGTAGACTGCAGTTCAAGTCCCAGACCCGGTGGCTTAAACTCAGGCCAAGCACACTTCGTGCGTGCCCAAGATCCCGAGAGGAGAATGGAGGAGAAGGGATTGCAGCGTGGCCATCCCTGCTGAGGGGTGATTTCTTGCTCTCTTTCTCTGTCTTTCTGGCAAGCACACACACCCTATAGCAAAAATCTCTCCAAAATTAATTAATTAAGTAATTAAATAAAAATTTAAAAATAAAATAAGTAGTATAGATGAAAATAACCCTAAATCACAATAAAGCAATGATACATTGTTTTAATCCTGAAATTGTGTAAATCATAGTAATTTTTCTATTTGTTTAAAGTTACAGATCCTTCAGAAATAAACTATCTAGCTTTATTTCTCAATAAATTATGTTATTTAATATATTTTCTTGGCTTGTCTATATTCAATTGAAGATGTTCTCAATTTAGCCATTTAATCTCAATTATATTTGTGGGTCTAGCCAACTGTAATTTTTATTTTGACTGTTTCATGAGCCTCCTAGCTAATCTTGTCTATATTTTTCAATCTTCTGCCCACCTCCGTCTTACATACTCTGCAGTCAGCTTTTTATCTAAACCTTAGATCTAATTATATCACGCACCCACTACTTACTTTCCTAGCTCAGAAATCTCAGATTTTCCTCTTGTCTACAAAGTAAAGTCAGACTCATTGCTATTTTATGTGTGAACTTCTTTGATGCTGTTCATCCTGTGTTCCACCCATACTAGATTTCTTAAAATGAAAATCATATGAGAGTGATGTTTTGTACAGTATATTTTATACATTCTCCCCTTTGTTAGCAAGTGCCTCTGGTTTCATGCCTCCCCATGGGCGTAATAGCAGCCTACTAAGCTATTTCTCTATTTCCAGAGAAAATAAGAACAAGATGGTGCTGGATTGGACAATATAATCTTATAAAAATGAGATTATTAAAGCTAGCATGAGGTAATAAACTAGAGAATTTTAATAATTTAAAGCCATTCCTATCCCCAAGTAATTTTAAATAACCTGAGGATATTAATAGGAAGTTATACATATTTAATATTTTAATACAAGAAGTTCTAAAATATTAGTCCCACTTCATTCACAATCTATTTTAGAGAAACTTCAAGATCAAAGAACACTCTCATTAATTTGTACCAACATATCAATGATTGTGTTTTGAATTCAAGTATTTTATAGTGTCTAGCATATATACAAATATTGTACAGTGTCTCAAAATATTGTAACCCCTTGTTCTGCATCAGTAGTTAATTTATTCACTTATTCTCTCTCTCCATAAATCCTGTACCTTCTGAGAAACAGAAGTATATTTACATTTTCATACTAGAGATAATTAATTTTCTATTAAACACATTCCTTTTTAGACCCGCCATTCTTTGTGGTTGACTCCTTCTACCTATCCCACTCCCTATGACAGGAGCCTTTGACCATGGTGTTGACACTGTCTCGTGTATATGTGTTGCTACTTTTATTAAAGTGTTTGCTTCCATTCATGACCATGTCTATGTTTTGTGTCCACTTCAGGCACTATGATACATCATTGTGTTTTTGTCAGCATTATACACATTTCAGAAGGGCTTGATTACCTACATCGGGTAATGGAAACATAATGACTATTACAGAGTAGAAACTGGAAATGACATTCCAAAATACATGAATATATTTTAAATGTTCTTATAGATGTTATATATATAGCCATATATGTGTGTGTGTGTGTGTGTGTGTGTGTGTTTTAAAGAGATTTTTTGCTATAGGGCACATGTACTCATCAGAGAGTCAGAATGTGAGAAATCACCTCCCCCACCCCTGGGGAGGCCATATCACAATCCTTTCTCCTCCATTCTCCTCTTGGGATTTTGGGCACTCACGCACATGTGCCTAGTGTGAGTTTTAAACCACTGGATCGGGGACTTAACCACAGTCAGCTATGTGGGAGTCCAGTGACGTAACCATTAATTTCTTCTTAATATTACCTAAGAGAAAAATATTAAAACTACCTTTTATTCTCTGATAATCACACAGAGATGCTATACACATGGAGCATCTCTAATTAGAAAATCTGAATCCCGAAGTGCTCTAAAATTCAAAATTTTTTGAGTACATCATGATGTCAAAAGTATTAAATCCCACACCTGACCTTTTATAATGAATTACAGTCAAAACAATGGAGTACAAAAATATTGTATAAAATTGCCTTCAGGATAATGTATGTAAGGTTTATATGAAACAAATGAACTTTAGACTTGGGCCCCATCCCCAAGAAATCTCATTATGTATAGATATATGTGAATATTACAAGATCTGAAAAAAAATCTGAACTCCAGGAGACTTCTAATCTCTAACATTTTGGGTAAGGTATAATCAACTTCTATGTACACATATTTAGGTATTCTTATATAGTTAAGACAGATTGCATTTAATATTTAAGAGAAAATAAAAGGCCAGCCAGCCAGTGGTGTGATGGTTAAGGTAGCTGGATTCCACATAGTCAACAGCAGAGCACAGTTTGAGTTCTGAACTCAGTGACTTGAGAAACAAGCCAGGCGAATGTGTGTGCATGTCCAAAATCCTAAAATGAGGGAGAATTGGAGGAGAATTAATTGCAGCATGACTACCTGCCCTGGGGGCATTCTTTTCCACCATCTCTCCTTCACTCTCCCCAGCAAGAGCACATGCCCTCTGACAATTTTTTAAATTAAAAAATGTATCTTAAGCTACCTACAGATGGCCTTTAAAAGTGGAAAAACTTTATTGGCTAATGAAGTGGATTTTTCAAGATGTGCAAGATTGAGAGTAAGAGTTTTTCCTTTAGAAATGACAAATTATTTTTATCATAGGCATTAAAACTTTGCTTTTTTTCTTTGGGAAATGGTAAAAATCTGTTGTTTCTAAGTAATGCATATCAACATTGTTGATGATCACTAATTAACATATTAGCCCGCTAACCTACTTAGATATAGTTTAACAATGCAAAAACCAGTATTATATGTACCAACACATAGAATCTATAATAAAACTTTTTTTCCCCTTTAAGTTTTGCCATAGGGCTAATGTTCTTACTGGGTAGACACAGAGACAGAGTGGGAAAGTAAGAAATCACCCCCTGCAGAGGGTATGCCATGCCACAATTCCCTTTCCATTCTTCTCTTGGGATTTTGGGCACGTATACAATTGGCTGGTGTGATTTTCACCCTACAAGGAAACATTTTTAATAATAACTGTATATGGATTATATCTCTTACCTTTATTATTATAACTAAGTCATGCTTTGTTCTAATTGACTCTTCATATTTCAGTCTCTGATTACACTGCAAGTTCTTTTTAATGGAAACATAATGACTATTACAGAGTAGAAACTGGAAATGACATTCCAAAATACATGAATATATTTTAAATGTTCTTATAGATGTTATATATATAGCCATATATGTGTGTGTGTGTGTGTGTGTGTGTGTGTTTTAAAGAGATTTTTTGCTATAGGGCACATGTACTCATCAGAGAGTCAGAATGTGAGAAATCACCTCCCCCACCCCTGGGGAGGCCATATCACAATCCTTTCTCCTCCATTCTCCTCTTGGGATTTTGGGCACTCACGCACATGTGCCTAGTGTGAGTTTTAAACCACTGGATCGGGGACTTAACCACAGTCAGCTATGTGGGAGTCCAGTGACGTAACCATTAATTTCTTCTTAATATTACCTAAGAGAAAAATATTAAAACTACCTTTTATTCTCTGATAATCACACAGAGATGCTATACACATGGAGCATCTCTAATTAGAAAATCTGAATCCCGAAGTGCTCTAAAATTCAAAATTTTTTGAGTACATCATGATGTCAAAAGTATTAAATCCCACACCTGACCTTTTATAATGAATTACAG